TTTGACTTGTAAATAATGTTACATTATTGGATGAAGTAACATTCAAGAGTCACGTCATCCAAAAAATGCGAGCTTAAATAAATTAGTCATTAAGTGTAAGACGAGTGGCCAGTATGAGCAGTGTTTTGCTCTCTACCCAATTATTGGGAGTGGATGGAGCAAAATTTCATGCACTATAATAGTGTGCGTTGAAATATCACGTGAAGTTAAAAGATTAGCACTTAGAAGCTGCAAAATCTATTAACACTAAGTAAAAAGATTAGCGCTTAGTGGCTGCAAAATCTATTAGCATTGCCAACTTATCTAAGTCTGGACACTTACTATTTCTACACTTGAGTGTGAGACATGAAGAGGTTCTTATTTGTATGATTTCTTACCTAGGCTAAAGCTTTTGAATGACGTTTACCACTAAGTACAAACGTTGCAACATAGTAATGAAAAGGTTAAGGCCGACAAGGTTGTTATGACTCTAGGAATTTGACGCATCGCTTGTGAGAGCATTGTGTTGAATTAGACTCTTTAGCCTAATGCACGCTTAAGTTACTTCAGGAGTTGTCATAGTTGATAGCTTATTCTCTCATTCTTGTGGATAGTAGAATTAATTGCAAGTAACTATGAAGCGAGAAATAGAAATGGCAAGAGGAGTATCGTCATCTTTCAACTAGATGCATTAAAGTGTATGGATAATAAAATTGACTTGAAGGTGCTGGAGATTAACACTTACTAGTTAAATTTGCGACTTAGGCACACTTGATATCTCCATGACATCCATTTATGATCTAGTGAATATGAATTAGTTGTGAGTCATTACCTAGTTGGACCTAAACCTTTAAAACTTGTCTTCGAGAACTCACACATTAGGATGATTGGAATTAGTTTATGACGTTGGTCATGAACCGGTGGCTTATTATACTTAATCACATTAATGAGATGATGACAGGATGGTTTGAGGTGGCCTTCTCGGGCCCACTCGCTTGTGACATCCTGCTCTCATGTGAATGTGTAACTTTGTTCACAATAGTTGCGCACAAAGTAAGTAGGAAAGCCGCAGAAGGGCATTTGTATTGGTGCATTTAATCCACTATGATATTTCTGACTGGATATGTGTAAGGGTATGATAGCTAGCCCCAAATCTTGACACATTTATAGATTACGATACGCATCTTAGTCAAGACTATTCGATCTCTCATAAGTCAAAAAATTTTGAAATGACTTTTGACATTGCACATATGAGATTGAGATCAATTAGATAAGAGCTTTCGTGTTTTTAGTTTTGACCAATGTGACGAGTATCTATTTGAGTTATTTTTTAGAAAGCTCTGTGAAGAGAAATAGATGCTTATAAAATTGAATATTCCTAGTACTCAACAACACAAGAGTGTAATAGAGATAAAGAATTAAGTATTGTTAATGTTAGGTGGATGATGGCGCAAAATGTTTCCCAATTGGGAATTGCACTTTAGTTTGTTGCCTATATCCCTGAGTAAGTGCCCTCCATATCAGATTTTACACTCCATTTGAGTAATGGGTTAGCGGAGAGCCATTTATGGGCGATCTGTAACCGTTAAGCAGCTTATCTTTATTTTACTTCTCATAAGGTTGCGAAGTTAAAACCTAGGGTTCTATAGCGCATTATTATATGTTGTCTTGTAAACACATAGAGTCATGTGACGCATTATTGTATGCTGTCATGTAAACCCTCCGGGTCATGTGCATAGAGGTAAGTAGCTTTGTGGTAGTGTAATTAAGTTACGTAAAGTTTTTTTTAGTAAATGTGACGTGAATAGAGTTTTTGGAACTCTATAAGATAGAGAATTCTAAGTATAGCGCTTTATGTAGCCTAGTTGAGAATGCAAAGAAATTTCCAATATCCTAGGGACAGTGGGAGCGACGTGCTTACTAATGGATTACTCCATCAGAGAAGAATACTCTACATTCATCACTAGGTGATTGAGAGGGAAACATTCATGATTGCTCCACAAGATGATAAAGAGCCTAGGATAATGCCAAAGGCTCTAGTCTCCTGTTTTTAGAAAGTGGATCAATGTTGCGCAGTTTAAGACAAAGTCTTTGAGGATTAACCATTTCTATAATTTGGTTGACTTTCCCTTATGAAGCAAAACTATTCTAAAGTTATGCGCAATTTGAATAGTCATTGTTAAGGCATAAGGCTCGCTAGATACCAAAAAGTCGCACCATTGAGAAAAGTGTAGACCAAGAGAAGACTTTCTCCTAGGGAGTGAGGTTATTTCAACTTAGGTTATGATTGACATAAGTTCGGAACATTGATTTGTGGACGTTGTGACCCAACTTCTCGTTGGAGAATTGGATAAGTAGATCCGTAGGGATTTACCTTTTGCTTTTATGGTGAAAAGTTGGGAGCACAAAAATGTTGCTAGTTTCAATAAATCTTTTACAGCCTAAAACAGTTATCCAAATAGTGGTTCTTAGATTTCGTCGAGCCATGATAGGCCAACGATGATCGATGAAAACCACTGAGTCATGATCAATGGTCCAAAAAGAAGTTTTTCCTTACTTAGTCATTGTAAGCCAAGAATTTATACGGTTGTCACCACCTAGGGTTGGCAGTCCTCTGTTTTAGACATGATGAACATAGGTGATGTAATTTATATGCTTGGATGTAAGATCCTTAGATATTGTTCTGGGAGAATTCTCGGTTTGTCTTTGATGACTTGCATAAAGAATATCCTAGAATGATTCTAGATGCGAAATTGCAAACCCATTGACTTACCCATCGGTAAAAGCTAAAGCCTTAACTATTAAGTGAATCCTCGAATTGTCTTTGAGAGAAACAGATAACCTATATTCCTTGATCTTTTTTTTTTTTTTTTTTTTGGAAGCCTAAAGTACGTTTTTTTTTTTGTGGGAGACTAAAGTACACTATGTGGGTGTATTCGGCATGATAAGTGTTATCTTTGGTAAATGGTCAACTAAATTGTTTAGACATTGACCTTGCTCATTAGACTGTGGATAGAATGCTTTACTAGTAGTATATTAATTTGCTCATTGTAAGATTTTCTACGCTAGTTGGGCGCATCTTGAATGAACGCAGATTGGTCACCAAAATATCTTTAGAGAGGTAATTGCGCAAGAGGTAATGATCTTAAACCACTTCATGTGAGGTGCACATGGAGGATTCCACTGTATATGTTTATCTCAAGAAGTGCTGATAAGGCTTATGCTTGGAATCTAGAATTGTGCAGACTGTGGTTATGTTTTTTAAAATCGATCACTTATTTGTTGTGAGATGATGGGATGCTGACACTATTATGGTTTGTGTCATAATGGTTAGCAGATGATGATGTCAGCAAGCAAGATTGGCTCACTCACACGAGCAATCGCCCTTCGCACTTGGGAACGAGCAAGGATGAGACTAGTGGTTTATTTTTATTTAGAGTCAAGAGAGGCTTAAATTATTCACTATGTATGTCGTCTTGGTTACAACCAAGATAAGGTCGTGTTAAGGGCCAAACATGGATGTTAGTACCCACTTTCCATGTTGTGCCTGTTATGATTAGCCAGATGCGAGATATCATTTGGCGCCTAGAAAGCGAGTAAATAGAGAATTCGGGTTAGACGCTAGAAAGCGACTAGACTAAGATCTGTACAATGTATCGAGTATGACGTCACTCTTTTGGAAGAGTTACTCCACCGTAACATGTATTCATACTATATATGCTTGGCGACCGAGTAATAAGGTGAGAGAATGGATCCCTGTTTCCTCACCGTGTGAGTCTTACGTGTCATTATTGATATGACTTTCATTTATGTACCCTTTTGTGACTTTTGACTATGTCATAAGGTAAGGGGTTGATGTTCTGCTACTTTGGTATGTTGCCTGCAGTCATGTATGATTCGGCCTTAAGAGACATCACTGGGAAAACGGTCAATCTTAAACTAAATGGCATGAGGGCAAAGGGAAGATCATCTAATATTACACCACTATTGTATATTCACTGCCGGCAACTCACATCGCTCTGTATGAGAGGTGGATTGAGTGTGAATATATTGCAAGGATTGAGAGGGTCAAACATGCTTTTTTGAGGAGGGATTAGAGATGCTTTTTGGACCAGTGTAATTAGATGAGTCTGGGGTATATGAGACACTATTTTTATTTTCGGGTTAATGTCTCTATGCTGACTCATTTTTGAGTTCTAGTATAGAGCTCTTACATGCAAGTGTTTCTCAGCGGTCGCACGGTGCATTGGCTAGTATAAGATTGTTCTTTTTTGGGGAGATTAAGATAGAGATGTGGCAGTGTCATGCCAACTCATGTGCAAGTGGGAGATGTTAGAAATTGGGCGCCCATGTGGCATGACCCATGACCCTTTTGAACCTTATCCATGTAAGTTTTGAATTTGAATTCAAAACCTATTTGGAAAACCCACTCTTGATATCTATATCTATCATATCAACTGACATGGATAGATTGATATATATGGTTATATATCTGATTATATATTTGAATAAGATATTGATATCAGATACGTTATTTTTTATATACTCTCTCTCTAACTCTCTCTCATTAAGAAAATGATCCAGCCTTTGCACTGTGACTTGTATAGGTGATACTCATATTGTGGTATCACTCTACTGCTGGGAGTTCGTTGTTCGCATTTATTGAAGCATGTGATTTATTCACAAGATTCTTCACTTCAGATTCTATCACCTAAGGTATGATCTGATAATTTTTACCCGCTACGTCATACTTATTCTTACAATTCTTAATAAACGAGTTTGTACATTCAAAAGCTGAGTTCAGCTCAGCACGGTTTGGCTCTCTACTGGCAAACACTCTGTTGTTACTGTGTGGTATTTTGGGAAGTTAATAAAAAATTAATTTTTTGAATTTTTGACCTTTTTGACAAAAAGTTAAATTATTTTGGATAAAAAAATTGATTTTTTATTTTTAAAAAAGCCAAAAAAAATTAAAAAGATGACTTTTTACCAATCTTCTCAAATTGGCCCTGTGTTTCAAATTTGTTGAAAAACGCAAAAGCTGAGAGAGAGAGAGAGAGAGAGAGAGAGACTCACAACAGCAAGAGACATAGCATACACACGAAGAAGAAGAATAAAGGGAGCCAAAATGGAAGATAAGAGTCAGATTCAGAGTAAAAATAAGAATACGAATGAGAATAAGAAGACTAATAGTAACAATGGCACTGAAAGTGATGATGAACCGGACTTACTTCACGTTGTTGTTCCGAATTCCAGTTCCGATTCCCAAAACGATGGCGAAGACCAAGACGAAGACGAAGACGAAGACGGAGTTGCTCAAGTTGAACACAGCTACGAAGACGATGATAATGGCGATGATGAAGAAGCGACGAGCAAAGAAATCACGAATCAGCCCCGCAACAATGCCAAAAATGGCGATGACGAAGGAGAGAAAGAGGATTCGACGAAGATTAAAAGTAGGAACGAGACTGCTGCTTCGTCTCATTGCTTTCCGATTCATCGCATCAGTCGAATCATAAAGAGTGAGGATCCTGATATTCGCATTGCTCAAGAGTCCGTCTTCCTCATCAACAAAGCTTCGGTATGAGCCAAAATTCAATGTACTAGGTTTTTAAATACGTATTTGTCTGTAATTTGTATTTTCGGTGTTCCTTCTTCTCAATTGACGAACTCATTACATATACAAGCAATTTTGCATCATTTCTGTGCCTATCGTATAAAGCATTGTTCTATTTTATTTGCAATTCCAGCATCTGCTTTTCCAGATCTCTTTACACTAAAAAACTGTCTCTTCTAACATTGATTCTTCGAATTTCGTAGGCCAGAGAAAACAAGTATTTGTTCTCTATCAGTTCATTGAAGTCGGAATTCGGTGGCTTGATAAACTAGAATTACATTTATAATCGGATAATTATGAAAATTGCTTTTATAGCAAATAGGGAACCGTAAGAGAGGAATTAACACTGAAATAGAAATCTGGAGAGAATCGCTCGAATCAAAAGGGTTTAAAATTAGTAAAACTAAATTGGAATATGTGGAATGTAACTTTAGTGACAGTAGAAATAGAGAGTTAATTGAGAAGTGAATATTGAAAAGAAACATTTTCATTATCTAGATTTTATTATTGATAAACATGGAGAGGTTGGAGATGATGTGAGGAAACTAGTCTAAACTGAATGTTAAAAAAGGTTGAATATGTAAGAAAAAGAGGTAACATAATTTTTATGGGGGAATGATTACTGTAAATATTTTGATATATGCTTCAACGCGTGACATTATTTGCTTGAATTGGCTGCTTTTAGAGTTGATCGACATTGTCATGATTTGGCAGCTGAAACTTTAACATTGCGTTGCGTCAAGCAATGATACATTGGTGGGTTATGTTTTGGGAGCAAACACATCAGTTTCATGGAAATTATGTTTAATTTTTGTTATGAGTGATAGATTGATGCTATTATACCGTTAGTTCCTTTTCCTGTTTGGCCATTACTTCATTCTGCTGCCATTTAATTCTTAGTCTCCATTTTTTTTTCCTTTTGATTGCAGGAGAAGTTTCTTGAATTATTCTGTAAGGAGGCATATGGTTGTGCCTTTCTGGATCGTAAAAAGCATGTTGAGTACAAGCACATGTGTAATTTCTCTTTCTTGTGCTCAATAAGTTTATTAGATATAATTGCTTGTCATGTAGATTTTGTTCGATTAAGCTGTTACTACAGTAATATGCAGCAACAGGAGGAGCTTTAATCAATTACTTCTTTTACCGGCTTCATTATGATTCAGTTAATTTAATTGTCAATGCCAGTGCATGCTGTACTGCATTTAAAGCAAGGGTTTGGACAGGGGAACTCACTATTCTTTCTACCCAATTTTGTTATTCTGATTTTTTTTAAACCATGATTATGATTATATATATGAAGTCTCAAAGTGGGATTTTGAGAACCCTTATGCAGTGTTTGGTTGGGGATTTGGAAAAAGAAATGGAAGAGGTAGGTGAAATGTGAATAAAATATACTTACGTTTCGCCTAATTTCACACACTTTTTCCCTTTTCTTTTCTAAATCCCTTCTCAAATTTTTCAACCAAACATAGAGTTAGTGGACATAGTATTTCTATACAATCCTTGTATTTTGACTTGTTTAAAGAAATCTTCATCCTAAAAAAGCTTCCCATAATCTGGTTTCATCTATCAAAGTTGCTCAAATAACTCTTGATGCTATTTCTTTGTATTTTGTCTTAAATGAATTGGAAATAAAATGTTTCTTAACAGCTGAAAATGTACCTCGTACGCATACCTTGTGTTGATTTTATGGATGTAAACCAGGCAATTTTCCACATAAAACACAAGGGAACTTTGGGAATAGATGGCCTTAGCCTGAGTTTCATTTACTTCTTATTTTTCTTGTGTGCATTTTGCGTCCTGGATTATTTGAAACTTCTAGCTGTGTTTTACATGTTCTTTCATTTGGCAAAATTGACTGTGCCAAACATTAAAAAATCATGTTCTGTTTTTGACAGAAATAAGATTTGAAGCAGCTTTCATACAGTTGCAAAGGCTTCGAATAAACTTGTCATGATTGGATGTAATAGAATCAGTTATGAGTTGAGTGTTACATGCTTTTGCTAAGATTCTTCCTTTCCTTTGTTTCAGCCTCAGTTGTTAGTAAGCGAAGGAGATTTGATTTTCTTTCAGGTACTTTTACGCTTCTATTTACTCCTGTATGTATATCTGCTATTGCCAAACATTTGAAAATAGCTATTATTTAGACGGCTATGTTGTTGTTTCTGCATTTAGATTTTGTTCCTGTGAAAGCAAAAGCGAAAGCTGAGGATACCTTATCAGAGTTGTCATCAGCCAAGACATGACAAAGACGAGACCTGGAATGGATATTCTACCCTTGCCTTACCCAAGCTACCAGGAGTAAGTTGCAACTTCTTTTTTTGTTTTTATTTTTAGGAGGCATTATATCAGCATATCTAGAAGCTCATCCGATATACCTTTTTGGCTGTGCCCATACTTGTAATACTGCTCCACCTTTGAAGAAAATATCTGAGGCAAGGATGAGTTTGAGTTGTTACATATTAGATGGCAGGTGAATTGGTGATGACAATATGCATAGGATAAGATAAACTTTATTATATAATTGCTCTCTTATGATTCTTACACGTTAACCAATGGATTTCCTCTTGATCCTGAAAGCTGGACACTGTTGGATGGCTGTTACGTCATATGAAATGGGTGCATAAGGATGTTGTGCTCAACCTGAAATACGATCATGAAGTTGAAAGTACCAGAGATGCCTAGAGACATACCATCAGAAAAACTTCCTTGACCAATTGGGTTGATCAAGAAAATAGCAGTAGCAGCTGCAACAAGAGCTGAATATACAACAGCAATATCCAAGGTCACATATCCAAACGGAAACTAAGGAGTGGTTTGGGATGTTCTAAATAAATGTATTTTTTGACTTTTTATGAAATATGGATTGAGTTTGAAGTGATGTGGTAGCAAGGTGATGCGACTTAAATAAGATGATGTGACTTAAATATGATAATGACTTTTTGACTTTTTTAATACATGACAACAAGGCCTAAGTCCCCACCCATGACCCATGTAACAAGCTACACTAAAGTAATAAGTGTAGAATAATTAGCTCATAAGGGTCTCGAATGTCTTGTGGAATTGAAGGGACCACTTTTAGCTAGGGTTGTAAAATGAATTAACTTGATTTGTATTGGGTTCATTAAAAATTTAATCAACATCAACTCTTTATGTAATTAAACGGTACTTTAATGTATTTTAAAAACTTGTTAAGTTTTTAAGTTAAATTTGAACAAATTATTACTCAACTCAATAAATTTACATGAACTATTAAAAATTAAATTGTTCAAACTTGATTAAAATATGTTTCAGATTATTTGCAAAAGTAAATAAACTAAACTTAAACAACATATCATTCAGTCCTACTTCTAACATTTAAATTTTAAGCTAGCAATGGATAAATTATTACTTAATAAGCTTACATGCAATATAAAAATAGGGAGATTTGGTCATAGTCCCCTCACTATCTAATTTCTCTTTCAAAAGGACAAGAATTATATAAGTACTTTCAAAACTCCCTGATATTTTAAAACTTGTTTCTTTTACTATATTACTCTCATATTTATCAGCTCTCCTATTAAGACATTTTCACTATGTATTTCAGAGTAAAATTTTACTCTGTATGAAAGTAAAATTTTACTCTGTATAAAAGTAAAATTTTACTATAAATGAGAGTAAAATTTTACACTCTGAAACTAAAAGTAAAATTTTACTCTGTATAAAAGTAAAATTTTACTATAAATGAGAGTAAAATTTTACACTCTGAAACTAAAAGTAAAATTTTACTCTGTATAAAAGTAAAATTTTACTATAAATGAGAGTAAAATTTTACACTCTGAAACTAAAAGTAAAATTTTACTCTGTATAAAAGTAAAATTTTACTATAAATGAGAGTAAAATTTTACACTCTGAAACTAAAAGTAAAATTTTACTCTGTATAAAAGTAAAATTTTACTATAAATGAGAGTAAAATTTTACACTCTGAAACTAAAAGTAAAATTTTACTCTCTGGTTCTATCAAATGAAATTTGATGTTTACTCTGAAAAATCGATGGAACTTTGAGTTTTGAATCAGGCCTATAATCCTTGAATCAATCGATGTTTACTTTGAAAAACATTGAATCATGCCTATAATCCTTGAATTAGGCCTATAATCTGAAAATTTTAAAGAAATCTCAAATTTTCATATCCCGATTCTTCAGATTTTTTAGATTTTACAGATTTTTAAAACTTTGAGCTTTCAAAAATCTATATATTCGAATTCAAATCTCAAAACACACAAACACACACATATATATAGATATATATATATATATATTACAGATCGGAATATGTAGATATATATATATTCGAATTCAAATCTCAAAGCACACACATATATATATATATAGGAAAATGATTGGTGGCCCTAAAAAATTTGCCCCTAATGTCCCTAATTTCCATTTTTGGAAACTGTTTCTTTTTTTCTTTCTTTTTTCCTTTTTTTTTTTTTTTTTACTTAAAGTGGAATTTCGGGGCATTCGAGCCCCGAAATTTAGGGCCCTCAATCACTTCCGTATATATATATATGTATATATATGTATCAGCGCGATTTGTAAGTTCTCCACAGCTCCGACTATGGAGGAAGCTAGGATTAGAAGAGAGAGATGAGATAAAAGATGAACAGTTGAAAGAGAGTTGAAGGAGGAGAGTTGAGAAGATGCAGAGAGAGATCGTCGGAGCTTAGAAATGACACAGCTCCGGCCATTGAGGAAGCTAGGGTTAGAAGTGAAAGACGAGAGAGAAGATAAATTTTGTATCTGAATTGTGTATATGTAAGGGTATAATAGTCTGACAAAATATTTAAATAATAAATTTTGTCCTTTATGCAAGATTTTATAATTATAAGAGGATTTAGAAAGTATAATTTTTTTCTTAATCCTTCTAACAATAAAAGGAAGGTAAAAATGATTTATAGCCAAATTTCCCTATAAAAAAACCAAACTATTCAAACTTAGCTTGATTAAAACTCATTTTAGATTCAAAAGGTGAAATAAGCTACAATTGAACACATTTTGAATAACATAGCCTATCATGGTTGCACATTTGCAAATAAAAAACGACAAAGAAAAATATTGTTCTATATCAACACAAACACGGAAAGAAAAGGAAAAAGAAAGCTATTTATCCCAAGCCCTTAAAAATGTAAAACATTTGGAGACATTGAAAAGCGGGCATTTAATCGTAGGCCACAAAAAGACTCACGTATTGCAAAATTCTCAGTCAACATGATAAACAAATTGTTAGGGGAAAAAATAAAAAAAATCAAGTTTCTTACTGTTGGAGGAATTAGTCACCGTCTACTAATAGTGCTTCATCAAAATAGTCCCCAACAGAGTCCAGGCCAGAGCGCCATCCCTTATTCCCACCTATATAAATAGTCAGCAATCTTGCAACAGCGACTTTGTATAACTTCGTGCTCATTCACTCTCTCTCTCTCTCTCTCTCTCTCATAGTTGATAAATATACCGCTACTCTTATACAACAGGGACCAGATGACTAATCTCACTTGCCCATATGAGCAATTGGACTCGGTATGACCCCAGGAGTTTGGGTGAAAGGGATATATATTTATATATATATATAAAAATAGTTATATATGCAAACTACAACTTTAACTCTATAAAAAGCACCTTTGGCAACACCCTTCTACTGATTATTTGTAACTAGAGCTGCTGCCAACTTTGCCCGACAAAAATGTCTTCTTTAAACCAGAACTTTGAAGGGCTTCTGAGTTGTTTGATTGATCTGACTGCCCAGGTCTCGTCCATATCTTCACGTGCCCTTCCCGACATGCGGTGATGACAGATTCTTGGGTAAAAATTAAGCCAGATAGAGGTTCGGAATGGACGCGATGTGCAACTAGTGGGGAGAGCTTTGGAACATCTCTCATGCTTGGAGCAGGTTGAAGAGTACCCACGGGAACTACACTGTCCCAATGAGATGACTGGCTTCCGGTGCTGAATGAAGGGGAACCACCAGGCGGACACCGGCGAAGTGGCACTACAATCTCTTCCATAGACAGATCCCAGAGAAGCAATTGTGTGTCCTACTTGAAAATAAATACAAAGTTACAAGACAGCAAACTATAATTGCATCTAATAAAAAAGGTGATTTTAGTGCATCAGAAAAGTCACAAATCACAAGATCATTGCGGTACTAAATTACACAAATCAACTGTATGAGCCATGTAATCACAAGCCAACCATAAATATGGGTTAGTTTTTAAGTGAGTTACCTCATTGAGTTGCATGGAAATATGGGTAAGTTTATAATTTTGCTCCCAAAAGTACGACATGTGGTTCCAAGTGTGATTTTTGTAAAATAATCCTAAGGGGGGTTATTGATTAGACTAAATTGACATAAAATAAAAAAATTATGGTCAAAATCGAGTGAAAAGTATGAAAAGGTGAGGGGGTGTGAAGATAAGAAGGGAATAGATAGAATAAGATAGGCCATGAGGTGGGAAAAGGAGACATAGGAAGCAAGATTATAGTCATCCATGTAGGAGCCGAGTAAAAATAAATCTAAATTGGCAAACAGAGTACATCCAAACCCATCTTGGATGGGCCACATTCGGTCAAAGCCCACTTGATTCAAAGTCATTGCCAAGTAGAAGGATGAAGAGCGTGTCGAGTTAAGGGTACCTGGGCCGCACATCTGAGCCGAGTATATCAGATAAGTTGGCACGACCCCGTAGGTGGGGCCAAGCTGTCCCTTTCTAAAGAATATAGTAGGAAGATAGGCCCTGATGATGTGGGGCTAAGCTATAGGAGGAAATATCAAGGAAAATAACTATAAAAGGAGGAGGTTGGTGAGAAAGGTATGTTCTAAAAAAAACTGGGACTCAAGAAACTGAAAGCTATTCTTTTTGAGTGAATCTAACTTGTTCGTCGGAGTGCTAATTCCGGCACCACCGACCGGAGCTTTTATTCTATTTCAGGTGACAATTGGAAGATCTTTCAAGGGATTGTTTGGATTAAAGGAGTATTCCAAAACCACCTTCCCCACAATCCATTTTACATATTCATCCATTATGTATGACTGTTTAGAACCTTTTTCCCCCCATCCATTATGTATGATGATTTACCATCTATTAAGCCAACAATATCCAAAGAGTAGCAAGTCTAGGATGTTACTGTGGCAGTATGCCATCCTAGGTAGTGATCAATGGTGCTTGCACCAAGCCAATGGGCTGGACGTGCACACCCACAAGGGTGTGCAGTGACAGGATTCATAGGTGTATGAGTGTGCAATTACAGAAATGTAGTCGAAGTTACAGTCGTGCATTTACAGAAGGGTAACTGCTCTTTGGCATATTATCATAAATAAATTATGCAAAATAAAAAAAAAGTGACAGCCACACCAACTTGAGTGTTGGCTTTATATAAATAAATAGTATAAATAATATTAAGTTTCAAAGGAAGCTTGACAAACCTGACCAACAGAACCGAATCGATACATGACATTTTCTCCTATATCTTCTGAAGTTGGTGGTGACCAATACGAGTCAAAAGCAACTCCACTGACCTGCAAGCAATAATAGAGTTTAAGGGTAAGACACCACCTTTTTTGTTTTTTGTTTTGAAAAATCAAGTTCAGGTGTAAGATATCTAAACAAAACAATAATAATAATAATTAAAGCTGATAATTTCACCAAAAACTCACCCATGAGTTGTGTCCCTCGCCCCATGCTACTATCTTCCTGTCTTCCATGCTCCAAACTTGAACTAGATCATCTTCACCACCAGTCAAGATGTATTTCCCATCCCCACTGAAAAAGGTATGCAGAAATCAAATGTGATGATTTCTACAGTTTTTAACAGTCCCCAATGAAAAAATTAAACAGAAAGATGACGCGAGGAGATTGAAATGGAATCATAAATAAACAAATCCTGACTAATCAGTTGCTTCTTATGTAGGACAACATCAAAACTTCTACCTCCAGGCACAGCATAAAAGAGCACCATAATAACTTCTCCCACCACAAATCAGTTGCTCATTTGAGTAGTCAAAAACTCGTGAATAACCTACACATATATTGTTATTAACACCCTTATACATTTGGCACATGTTCACAAAATCACAAGGGTAGCAGATAACAGCAATACCATCTCTACCAACAGTTGCCAAATATTTCCCATCACTTGAAAAGGCAATGCCATTAATAGAACTGTCGCAAATGTGCCATCTTGCAATTGGATTACTCTGCAAAAAAAGTCATAAATGAACAAAAATCAGGTAGGTAACACCACTGGCACATAGCCAACCACTTTTCAAAATATATATATATATATATAGAAAAATGTCAAAAAGTTATAAGTGAAGTTAACAACACATGAGAAAGAGTGGGGACCTAATATACATCAACAAACAAAATTGAAATAAATAAAATAATTCACTGCATGAATGAAGCAAACAACAAAGCCCAAACCTTCTTCATTCCCCATCTTCCCTACTACACCTGCACCCACACAAAATATCAATTTAAGGAGCCATAATTAGATTAATACAAAACTCAACAATCTCCGAAAAAGGCACCCCCATCTTGGCTGTCAACATAACTGAAAAACTCTCTTTCTGTTACTTCATATTATGCTCTGCTATGGCACTAGTACTGCACAATCTTACGGTTGATGCTTCTTTTTACGTTCTACGGAGTAAGGAGGTTAATAAAGAATTCTCTTTATCATCTCAGTCTAGAGAAGCAATGGATCCTTAAGAATTTAAGACTTGATTTGGCTAGCTTATATTCAAGGATGAGATTGACGAAAGACGAAATTTTCTTTTCATTTTTTCCCCCTCAAATTATATCCACAGACAAGGTTTTTCATTTTAAATCTGAGTTAGATAAGTAATCCCAGTGTAACCAAGCCTAGCTGAGCTCGGCTTGAGTTTGTCCAAAAACAGGTGAGGTGAGCTCAAACAAACATATGCTGTTTCATCCGAGTATAAGCAGAGCTTCAGCTCACTCTTAGTCTGACCAACCCAAGCAAAAAAAATTCCACTCAGCTGTTCTCAGTTCATTTGAGAGCTAGTTAATACTCTCCAATAACTAATAATTTTATTAGGAAATTACAAAGTAATGTGCTTCCTTGGTTGATGATCAATAAATCTATACATTAGAACAGGAAATTTACACATTTAAATATGTGCTTATACATGTGTGAAAATGTGTCCCATGGTGCCTTCAAGTTGTTGACAATACACACCAAAATTTTGTATAATTGTTTTCCCCCTTCTTCCTGAATTTAAATGGCACAAGTTGGCCAGGTGAGGACTGCTAACATAATTAATGTCAGCTTCTGCAGGACTGTCTCAACATTCAAATTTTAATGCCATATCAGTGAAGTACAAGAACTAAGACAACCATTATTGCTAAAACAACTGTAAATTTTTTATTTTTGTTCAGATACTTACAAGTACTGCCAAGCCAAAAACAAGAAAAGTGAGCAGCAAATTATAAAAGTTAAAACTCAAACAAGTTGGGATACTTGAACGTTGATGAGAAAAGACTAAAACTAGAAGCACCAAATAATTAGTTTAGTAGTCCAAAGGAAATGGAACTAACACAATAGTTTGACAATCAATAAATCTGGAGTAAGAATATAAAGTCAAAACAATTTACAATAGACCTTAATATGGCAACTAGAAACAGACGCAACTCAGAACTTTCGCCCCCAGGGCCCTTGAGAGATCCTTAAACTCCAGTGTAAATAAATAATGCCCTTGTGTAATCTTTAAAGATATTTCAGTATAAAGGGTAAATTGAATTCTGATTACAACATCAAAAACCCAAATCAACATTCAGATCTCCTAAATGTTGGTGGGCTATCTCAATCGAAAAATCAGAAGGTATTATACATGTAGTAGAAAAGCAGTTATTTAGGCCATAGGTTGGTCTGAACTCCCACGAAACATAATATGAAGAAATTAAAAAATACAAAGAGAAGAAGACTACATCAATGCTGTATAACTACAATTTACATAGTGATTCTAATGGTTGAGTACAAAAATCAATACTGTTTACTCCCAATCAATAATCAATTTTTTTTCTTCACCTATTAAATTAGTTCATGTTACTTCTACATATATGGTAGAGTAATCTAATATTTCATATCTCAACAAAGGACAGAAATTTAATAACAAATTTTCATTATTTCAGCCTCAGCAACAGCAATTCAATTTCTCATCAATAAATACTAAACAGCAAAATGGATGGAAACCCTAGGACTGCATGTAAATTATATATCCAAAAATATAGCCAAAAAAAAAAAATCGATACCAATTACCTTACTGGACTTCGCATGTGCAACAGAAAATTGAGCCAGATCCTTGATGACTGGGAAGGAAGCATCACCAGTACCATCCTTGCTCTATCATACATAGAAGAAACTATGTTACTACATGCAGCAGGAGTGGAGGATAAAAGCTTAAGCAGACAGAGCAGAGGCACTTCTAATGCAAAATTGAGGCTTGCCTTTTCATACACATACAAGTTTCCATCAGCATGAGCAACAACAAAAGCACCTTCACGCCCAGGTATCCATGTAATACTAGTACATCGACTGTCAAAAACAACCAGTTGGTTGCTCATTCAGATTAGAAACTTTAGATGTTAAAATCAATATATATAGGTACTCAATTTGGAATATGAATATGAATAACTTAAACCTATTATAACTGGTAACAACAATAACATGTTAAAGCAACAGGGTAGCTGATAAAGCATAAAAGCTTAGGATGAATATATCTTTTGTAAGCTTATAAAAATACTTAGGCCAAAATCCTATTTACCCCCTTGTGATTTTGACCGAGAACTTTTTACCACCTGACATTTAAATATATGCAAAGAGCCCCGATGTGTTTCTGCCCAATGTTACATTTTAGCTCCCTGCCATTACTAATTCCATCAAAATTGACAAAAATTGTGTCACACAAGCTTATTTGGAGAGTTGGCATGAAAAAAAAGAAGAAAAACAAGAGTCAAAGTTACATTTTAATGCACAAAGACAATTATGTAGAACCTTTCACTAATTATTAGTTATTGCATTAGCATCATGAGGTGTTACGCCCTTTTATCAACTGTATTTAAAACCCACCAAACCCTAGCTCTATGAAACTGCTAAGGAAGTTCATCCTCGTTCATCGAGAATAATCCGAACAAGCGGACGAGCCTAGTTAGGAGTGAGGCATAACATGATAGTTTGGTTCAAGCAATCAAAACAATGGATAAAAGAAGCCGAAAGAAACTAAAAGATAAAATTTAATGTCTTGCCTGTTATTGGTGGACCCTTCTTTGTTATAATGTTGGGCACCCACAAGTTTCTTCCCAACATCTTGTAATTGTTGTCTCAAAGATACCGAGTACACTACAAAAAACCAATACAAAGTAAATCAAAGAGCTAATTCTTGATAAAAATCCACTTATATTAATTTAGGGCAGTAACTCTTTACCATCTCCACAATTCAATCCAATTAGCAAGTCATGCGCATCCTTAGCTTCACAATCAAAAGCATGACAAACAGGGTTCGAATTACTGAAGTGTATTGCTTTAATTGGATCCTACAAGCAAAATCATTCAAATCTCCTTACCAATAATTTCAAATCAAAAAGACCAATCATTCAAGAAAATTAAACTCAACAGCATCAAAATTACCTTATCCTGTGAATTAAGGTCACTGACATACAAAGTATCCCCAACATTAAACACCAAGTAAGTCCCTTTCCCATCAAAATTCGAACTAATCAAAGAACTATATCCATTCAACCCTCCCAACGAACCAGTTCTGCTAGTTCCACTATTTATTTTACTCGCGCCGCCATTCCCTCGAATGCCATTGCCACTGGCCAATAACCTAGCTGCCACATGCCTTACTCCGCTGCTCGAACCGGAACTCGAGCTTGGCGGCTGCGCAGCCTTGTCCTTGAGGTGCGCTAGCGTTATCTGAAAACAACATCACCAAATCTCCATCAATCCAAATCAATTCCCACAAACAAAACACAGATTATTGTACTGCTAGGGTTAAAAATGCCAATAATACAAAATCAAATTCAAGGCACATATATATATGTATAGGTGTAGAAGCCCTAGGAGGAAAGAGGAGACCTGAGTGATGGATTTGGCGAGGGAGAAGGGGAGGAGGGAGGAGGGGTGAGACTTGTCAGAGTGGAGGTTGTAGCGGCCGTCGGGCGTTTTGAAGTAGGTTTTAAGGGCTTGAGATTGGGGATTTGCGGCGGAGGACGGAGACATCGAGCCCTTCATGGTGGTGGTGGTGGTGGTGTTGATCATGTTGAAGACGGCGATGATGGTGAAGGTGGATCTTGAGGAGGCATGCGTTCATGGCAATTGGATTTCTCAGCTGTCTCGTTCTGCTGTGTGTGAACTGAACTTGAACTTGAACTTGAACTTGATTTACTGATTCATTAGAGTGTTTGTTTGTGTCATCAAGTGTTTGAAAGATGGGGAGGTGTTGATCGTCATACAATGGAGTTACATTACAGGTGAGGATTTTGATTGGGTAACATATGATTTCTCACTCATCGGTTCTCTTTTTACGTCACTATTGTTTATTTTTTAATTTATTTAGATTACGTTGACCGCTGCTTCATGTTTAAAAAATGAAAAAATTCCAAACCTTTTCATTTACTACCATGGAAAGAATAAAATAATATATTATTTAATAAAAATATAATAATTATATTTAATTTTTTTATATTATGTAAAATAATAATTAAATGGAAGTTAGTTAATTTATATATTTTTAATTATTTAAAATTAAGAAAATTAAAAAAAATTAATATGATATATTGATCACAAAGATTCTTACTAAAATTTTATTTTGCTTGTATAAGTGGGAGTATAAGATTCATTTTATATAAGTGAAACAATTTACTTTTTTCTTTTTTCTCGATATGAGATTATAAAATAAAAGTTAAATGAAAATTAGTCAACGAGAATTTTCTTAATTGTTTAAAAGTTAACAATTGTTTGGGTAAGAAGTTTATTTCGAATTAAGCAATCTTAGCCGTTTAATCTTTAATTAGGTCACTCTTTAATTTATTTCAAATCAAACAAATTTAACCAATATATTTTGATAAAATCACTAAAATCACAGTTAAACCAGCAAATCAGTCAAATCGAAAACGGTTTACTTTATCGGTTAGGTCAAACGACCAATCAACTTCTACAAAAATAAATTCATTAAAACTTTTAAATTTTATTTTAATTTTAAAATTTAAACTGTCTTAAACTAAAACATACAAAACACTATAATATTAAATGAGAGCATAAGGTTTATATAGTGAAACAATTCATTTTTTTTTTTTCATTTTCTTGATGTAGGATTATAAAATAAAAAGTTAACAGTTGTTTGGACGGAAAGTTCATTTCTAATCAACAATCTCAGTCGTTTAATTTTTAATAAGGTTAATTTTAGTTTATTTCAAATTAAACAAAACTAACCAATATATTTTGAAAAAATAGTTAAAACCGTGATTAAACAAGTGAATTAGTCAAACCGAAAACAATTCAGCCTAATCGGCTAAGTCAAAAGATCTATCAATTTACAATAAAATTAATTAATTAAAACCTTTAAATTTTATTTTAAAATTTAAACCATCTTCAACTGAAACATGTACAATACTATAATATTAAACTAGCGGTAACCCGTGCGATGCACGGAAAAATAAACTATATACATTTTGTGTGACATATAAATTATTGTAATCTTGAATTATATTTTAATAGCAGCAAGTCATGATGTTAGGCCATCTTGGTTGATGTTAACAATAATTAATCTACAAAATTTCACAATAAAAATTTGATATACATAAAAAATTGTTAATTATAAAGATTGTTAGGATAATAGTATTACAATCATTTGATAACATAAATAATTTGTATCAGACTATAGTGTCATGCGAAAAAAAAAAAACAAAACAAAACAAAAACAAAAATAAAAACAAAAACAAAGCATTAAAAGAAATAAATTTTATAAGTTATCATAAATTTACTTATTTTAAATCAATGATTTATATTATTATTGTGGGACCAAATTATGAATAAATCTCAACTTTTAATTATAATTTGTAAGTAATCATTCTCCATAACTTGAATAATACTTGCATAGTTTCTACAACATTTAAAAAAAAATCAAGATAAGAATTTCGTAGGATTATAAAAATTATATAAGAAAATAGTTTAATCCATTTTATTTATAAAAAAAAATGATGACAAATTATTTGAATTGTATTTGAAGAAATATAACAAATGATAACTTTAATCATTATATACCAAAAAAAAAAAATTATATAGGTTACTCAACAACAAAATGCTCGAATATAACTAAACTCATGGACATTGAATTAAATCATATGGGCTCTAAATTAATAATATAATCTAATAAATCAACTAATAATAAAAGAGAGATATCAACAAATATGTAGTATTTCTCTACCATCTTTGTATTATATTCATTAATTTCAATCTTTGATAAGAAATTAGTTCTAAACTTTATTATTAAAAAAACAGAAATTTCAAAGAGAAAATTTAGAGATGGGATTGAAAAAAATACTATAACAAATGACAATCTTATAAAAAAAATAAAAAGAAAGAAAAAGAAAAAACACATAGCAATGATCTAATGTAAACTGTTTTTAAAAATTAAAAGAAAGAATATCAAATTATTACCTTGGATAAATATAGTGACGGAAAATAATTTTGTGAAATTTTTGTATTGCCTTCTCCCATACAGCTTTCGTTATTTAATTATTAATACTCTTCTTATTCATAGCCAACCATTCTTTTTCTATATATATCTTTATCACTTGGTAGATAATAACAAATAATAAAAATTATGAGGAGTAGGTTAAGAGGAGATAAGAAGTTATAGATAAGAGTATTTCACAAGATAAAAAATTCAAAATAAAATAAGATAATATGTGATAAAAGGAGAAAAAAAATATAAATAAACCAAAATAAAGATTTAGATAGATATGTTTTTGATAGATATAGATTAACAAATCATATATTTATCTAAATTTTATTATTTTAATTTTTTTTGTAAATCAATTAGTTAATCTTTATCTTTATCTGTAGACCATGGAATTAATTTTTATAAATTATTTATCAATTCTTATATGTTTATTTATCTATAAGTCATGAAATTATTATTTTTCAAATAATTTTTAAAATTTTTATCTTTATCTAAATGTCATGAAATAAATTTCCATAAATTATTTAGGATTTTTTTATATGTTTATTTATAATGAAATTAATTAAAGTACAAAATGAAAGGCAAAAAACATGAGTAATTTTTTTTAAATCAATTTTTTAACCTTTATTTTTATCAGTAGGCCATGAAATTAATTTTTATAAATTATTTATCAATTTTTATATGCTTATTTATGGGAAGAATTTTAAATTATCTATAAGTTATGAAATTAAGTATTTAATTTTTATCTTTATCTGTACACCATGAAATTAATTTTCATAAATTATTTATCAGTTTTTATATGTTTATCATCACCAAATCTCCATCAATCCAAATCAATTCCCACAAACAAAACACAGATTATTGTACTGCTAGGGTTAAAAATGCCAATAATACAAAATCAAATTCAAGGCACATATATATATGTATAGGTGTAGAAGCCCTAGGAGGAAAGAGGAGACCTGAGTGATGGATTTGGCGAGGGAGAAGGGGAGGAGGGAGGAGGGGTGAGACTTGTCAGAGTGGAGGTTGTAGCGGCCGTCGGGCGTTTTGAAGTAGGTTTTAAGGGCTTGAGATTGGGGATTTGCGGCGGAGGACGGAGACATCGAGCCCTTCATGGTGGTGGTGGTGGTGGTGTTGATCATGTTGAAGACGGCGATGATGGTGAAGGTGGATCTTGAGGAGGCATGCGTTCATGGCAATTGGATTTCTCAGCTGTCTCGTTCTGCTGTGTGTGAACTGAACTTGAACTTGAACTTGAACTTGATTTACTGATTCATTAGAGTGTTTGTTTGTGTCATCAAGTGTTTGAAAGATGGGGAGGTGTTGATCGTCATACAATGGAGTTACATTACAGGTGAGGATTTTGATTGGGTAACATATGATTTCTCACTCATCGGTTCTCTTTTTACGTCACTATTGTTTATTTTTTAATTTATTTAGATTACGTTGACCGCTGCTTCATGTTTAAAAAATGAAAAAATTCCAAACCTTTTCATTTACTACCATGGAAAGAATAAAATAATATGTTATTTAATAAAAATATAATAATTATATTTAATTTTTTTATATTATGTAAAATAATAATTAAATGGAAGTTAGAGAAGTTAGATTTTTTTAAATTACTTAAAATTAAGAAAATTAAAAAAAATTAATATGATATATTGATCCCAAGGATTCTTACTAAAATTTTATTTTGCTTGTATAAGTGGGAGTATAATAAAATAAAAGTTAAATGAAAATTAGTCAATGAGAATTTTCTTAATTGTTTAAAAGTTAATAATTGTTTGGGTAGGAAGTTTATTTCGAATTAAGCAATCTTAACCGTTTAATCTTTAATTAGGTAACTCTTTAATTTATTTCGAATCAAACAAATTTAACCAATATATTTTGATAAAATCGCTAAAATCACAGTTAAACCAGCAAATCAGTCAAATTGAAAACGGTTTACTCTATCGGCTAGGTCAAATGACCAATCAACTTCTACAAAAATAAATTCATTAAAACTTTTAAATTTTATTTTAATTTTAAAATTTAAACTGTCTTAAACTAAAACATACAAAACACTATAATATTAAATGACAGCATAAGGTTTATCTAGCGAAACAACTCATTTTTTTTTTTTTCATTTTCTTGATGTAAGATTGTAAAATAAAAAGTTAACAGTTGTTTGGACGGAAAGTTCATTTCTAATCAACAATCTCAGTCGTTTAATTTTTAATAAGGTTAATTTTAGTTTATTTCAAATTAAACAAATCTAACCAATATATTTTGAAAAAATAGTTAAAACCGTGATTAAACAAGTGAATTAGTCAAACCGAAAACAATTCAGCCTAATCGGCTAAGTTAAAAGATCTATCAATTTACAATAAAATTAATTAATTAAAACCTTTAAATTTTATTTTAAAATTTAAATTATTTTCAACTGAAACATGTACAATACTATAATATTAAATGAGAATATAAAATTCATTTTATATAAATGAAACAACTCACTTTTTATTTATTTTCTCGATATGAGATTGTAATTATTTTAAATTAAATAGTGTAAGAGTTTCAAAATCTCATATAAAATTATTTTTAAAATCAAAACGTATATGTGAGATTGTAAAATAAAAGTTAAATGAAAGTTAACTAATGGAGATTCTCTTAATTATTTAAAATTAAGAAAATTGAAAAATTGGTATGGATTATAGGGTTTCTCACTAAAATTTTTCTTTTGCTTATATAAATAGGAGCATAAGATTCACTTTATATAAGTGAAACAATTCATTTTATCCTTCTTTTTTCGATGTGAGATTGTAAAATAAAAGTTAACCAATGAGATTTTCTTAATTGTTTAAAAGTAAGAAATTTAAATAATTTATATAAATTGGAGCATAAGATTCACTTTATGTAAATGAAACAATTCACTTTTTCTTTTTTTCTTTCCGATTTGGGATTGTAAAATAAAAGGTAAATGGAAGCTAACAAATGAAATTTTTCTTAATTGTTTAAAATTAAGAAAATTCAATAATTTTAAAATAAGGGTTTGGAGCTTCTAAAAAGCTTCTCCCTTAAACTCTCTTTATAAGATTCATTTTATATAAATGAAATAAATTAATTTTTCTTTCTTTTCCTGATGTAGGATTGTAACACTTTATATAAGTGAAACAATTCAATTTATTTTTTCTTTTTTTCTTCTTTTTTCGATGTGAGATTGTAATTATTTTAAAGTTAAATATTATGAGAGTTTCAAAATTTCATACAAAATTATTTTTAAAATCAAAATTATGTGAGATTGTAAAATAAAAGTTAAATGAAAGCTAAACTAATGAGAATTTTATTAATTGTTTAATATTAAGAAAATCAAAAAAATGAGTATGAGATATTGACCATATGACTTTTCATTAAAAATCTCCTTTTGCTTATATGAAATGGAGCATAAGATTCACTTTATGTAAGTGAAACAATTTATTTTTTTTTTCGATATGGGATTGTAAAATAAAAAGTAAATGGAAGTTAGCCAACATGAATTTTCTTAATTGTTTAAAATTAAGAAAATTCAATAATTTTAGAATAAAGGTCTGGAGCTCCTAAAAGGTTTCTTCCCAAAAATTCCATTTTCTTATATAATATATAGATAGATAGATAGTGAAACAAACTTTGTTTTTTCGTCTTCTTCTGATGTAGGATTATAAAATAAATCATAAACTAATTAGACTTTTATTTTTATATGGTTAAATGGAAGTTAATCAATGGAAATTTTTTTAATTGTTTAAAATTAATAAAATCAATATGAGAAGTCGTGATTAAACTGGTGAATCGATCAAACTCAAAATGGTTTAGCCTAATCAGTTAGATCAAATGACCAACCAACTTATACAAAAATTAATTAATTAATTAAAACTTTTAAATGTTATTTCAATTTTTAAATTTAAACCGTCTTAAATTGAAATATATACAAAACTATACTATTAAGATTCATTTCATATGAGTGAAACAACTCACTTTTTTTTCTTTTCCCAATGTAGGATTATAAAATAAAACTTAATAATTATTTGGACGAAAATTTATTTTTTAATCAAGCAATCTCAGTTTTTCAATCTTGAATCAAATCAATTTTTAATTTGTTTGGAATCAAACAAATCTAATCAATATATTTTGATAAAATCGCGGTTAAACTAACAAATCAATCAAATAAAAAATGATTTAGGCTAATCAGCTAGATTATAATTAATTAATTAAAACTTTTTAAATTTAAATTATATTGAATTAAAACATACACAATACTACAATATTAAATGAGATGTCAATATAAGATTCACTTTATATGAGTAAAATAACTCAATTTTTTTTTTATATATGAAATTATCAAATAAAAGCTAGCCGATAGAAATTTTCTTAATTGTTTAAAATTACGAAAATCAGTATGAGATATTGAAACTCTCACAAGGTTTCTCACTAAATGGGATGGAAGTATAAGATTCTATTTATATGAGTAAAACAACTCATTTTTTTTTTCCTTTCTTTTCCCAATGTGGGATTATCAAATAAAACCTAACTAATGGAGATTTTCTTAATTATTTAAAATTAAGAAAATCAAAAAAATTAGTATGAGATATTGAAGCTCTCATAAGGCTACTCACCAAAAACACATTTTTCCCTATACTCTCATTCGTCCCAAAATAATGGTCTCTTTTAGGGAATCTAACTTTTTTTGGTAGTACAATTATTGTACTTTAAAAAAATTAATTTTTCAAAATTACCCTTTGATAGTACATTTTTTGGGAAATATAAATGTCATAATTGTACTTTTTATGTTATTAACGAATTTAAAAGAAGGGCAACATAGGAAATTTATATATTGTTGTATTTGATTTTTGAAAAGGGACTAATATTTTAGGATAATGAAAAATGGAACAAGGGACTAATAGTTTGGGACGGATATATAGATAGATAATAGATAATAGATAGATAGATAGATAGATAGAAAGATTGGGAGGGTGAAAAAGTAGTTTAATTTATTTTTTTTCATACACTTTCTAAGAAGAAAACATATAATTGAGTAAGGATAAGGTAAAATATATATTTTTTTTCTTGGATAATATTATCAGAGTAACATATTACTATAAAATAGAGTAATTATCAATTAGAGTAACATGTTATCATCAAACAAAGTAATTTGTTACTGTTACTATTTATATCAATTTCAACGGTAATAATTTTTTTTAAAAAAAATTTTCAAAGTCAACATGAATCTTATTTTATAGATCTTGATGAGAGAATTCCAAAAATATTAATTTTATTAAAAATCGACATCTACATAAAAAATTATATTATTTGAAAATTTAATATTTTGATAATAGTGATATTTATTGGACTTTTTAAGGAATTTTGTGTGTGTTTGTCCTTAATACATTAAAATTTTATTATAAGTGGATTTTGACCAAATATTTTTCTATAAATTTGAATCTAAAACCTCACATAATATTGTAACTTGTATATGATATTCAATTTTTGGAAAATGTCACTACAAGAAAAAAAACACCTTTGGCGACTAAATTTTTAGTCGCCAAATGTCAAAATTTCACTTTTCCCGACTAAAAAGTTTAGTCGCCCGTGTTGTCGCCAATAGGCGGTCGCGAATGCCTTTGGCGACTAAAACACTGTTAGTCGCCAATATATATGTCTTCAGCGACTAAAGATTTCGTCGCCAATAGTCAATTTCTTTATTGGAAATTATACCTTTGCCGACTAAACTGTTAGTCGCCAATAGTTCATTTTTATTTTATTATTTATACCTTTGGCGACCATTCACTTTAGTCGCTGAAAGTATTTTCAGAAAAAAAAAATTTTGCCTCCGCTGCTCCCAACAGGTTTCGAACTTGCGACGTCCCTTTGCACACGCCAAACCCTTTGCACAACACTCCCTCCACTATGCCAGTACATCATCACATGATCATATATGCAATATATATTATTTATATACTATATTAATCGCAATTAATACAAAATTATATTTATAAATATAATTTTTTTAATTCAATATAATTTTTGTCAAAAAATAAATTATTTAATAAAAAAAAATTAGGCGACTTTTGGCGACTAAAACCATTTTTTAGTCGCTAATTGTATTATTTTGGGCTACTAATTATTTATTTGTCGCTAAAAAAACAAGTTCTCAATTAAAAATCAGCACTTTTGGCGACTAAACAGAAATTTCGTCGCCAAAACCACTACTTTGGGAGACTAAAATGGATTTTCGTCGGCAAAACCCCCACTTTCAGCGACTAAATTGTTTTTAGTCGGCAAAACTGCTATAATCAGCGACTAAACCTGTTTTTAGTCGCCAAAACCATACCTTTTCGCTACTAAATTATTTTAGTCGCTAAAAACCGTGACTTTTGGCTACTAAACAAACT